AGATGGAGCCCGCAACCTGAGCATGTGTCCTGACCTGGCTCATACATAGGTAGACGCTCAACCACTGAGCCACAATTAGCTGGGCCCTTTTGCTTTCTAAGGCCTTTCCCTCTGGTTGTGCTTTGGAGCCAAACATTTCAACAACCACCTAAAAGTATTTATATATCTAGCTTAGAATTCTCCACACTCGGGACTCATATATCCCGCTGTCTATTTAACAGCAACTGAGATGTTTCAAATGCACTTCAAACTTAATATGTTTAAAGCTGGATTCATGATCACTTCCCCTGCACCCCTACCACAAAAGTGATTATCCTCCAGGGCCCTTGATCAGGAAATGGCATAATTCATTCAGTTACGCACCCAGAAACCTTAGCATTTCCCTTTCCCCTCTCCCATCTGACCCAATACCTCTTCAACATATCTTCAAGAATGCCTCTTTCTCCGCTCCCTGTCTCTCCCCCACCGCCCTTCAAGTTCCAACAATCCAGGCGTTGGTAATTAGAGTAGCCTAACTGTCCTACCCTAATCCACTCTGGCACCCCCTGCAGAGACCTTTTAACAAAGCCTTTGTACTCACCAAGCTCCCTCCAACTACACCTTTCACACCTCACTCCCTTAGCTTTGAGGGTTTCCCTCCCTTCTTTGCATAAAGACAGCAGATCTCACCAAGATTTAGTTCATCAGAAAAGCCTTCCCTGACCTACCAAGGCAAGATCTCCTTATTATAGACACTCCAAGTTATCACTGACCTCTAACTTATCACTTCACGGCTATAACTCTCCACTAGCTTATTTTTTTTATTATTGATTTAAAAGAGGAAGGGAGCCTGCATGCCCCCTACTAGGATCTACCCGGCAAGCTGAACATGTACCCTGACCAGGAATCTAACTGTAACCTCCTGGTTCACTGGTGGATGCTCAACCACTGAGTAACACCAGCCGGGCTCCATTCGTTTATTTGAGCCTTCAAAAAAAACGTCTGTGCCGAGACTGGTTTGGCTCAATGGATAGAGCGTTGGTTTGGGGACTGAAGGGTCCCGGGTTTGATTCCGGTCAAGGGCATTTACCTTGGTTGCGGGCACATCCCCAGTAGGGGGTGTGCAAGAGCAGCTGATCGATGACTCTCTCTCCCTTCCTCTCTGTACAAAATCAATAAAATATATTTAAAAAAAAAAAAAAAAAAACGTCTGTGCTCCCTCTTTCCTTCCATTAGACGGTACACTCAAACCTCTTCTGCCACTGTATCCTAGCACAATGTAATTATTCAACAAAATTTGTTGAATAAGTTAGCAATACTATATAGAAAAGAGAGGTGGTGGTAGATGAGACATCAGTATTTGAAGATCTGGAGCTTAGATAGTGTTTATAGTGTGTCATTTTTTTTTTTTTTAAGATGTTGGAAACTTGCCTGGTTGGCATGGCTCAGTGGTTGAGTGTGGACCAGGAGATCACGGTTCATTCCCGGTCAGGGCACATGCTGGGGGCTGCGGGCTCGAGGCCCCGTGTGGGGCGCGCAGGAGGCAGCCGATCCATGACTCTCTCATCCTTGATGTTACTCTTTTCCCCTTCCTTCCTCTCCGAAACCAATAAAAACATAGTTTTTCATTTAAAATGTTGGAGACTTGGTTAAGAGAATACGCTGCCCTCAGACTCCCGATGAGGTCGGAGGAAGCAGACGATCGTTGGCTGTTGGTACAAGGACACAACCAGGGAGACTCCCCACGGCAGGCCGCTCCCGAGGGAGGCGGCGGGGGCCCGGGTGCTGGGTGCTCGGGCAGCGATGGGGCCGCCCCCGGCGCCGCCGGAGCCCCGGGTCCCGCCGCCTCCGGAGCCCCGGGACGCCCTCCCCGCCTCCCGCAGCCGCTCCCTCCCCACGAGCCGGCGCGGCCGCCTTACCCGCCGGGAGGCGTCCGGGCCGCTGCTCCCGCCGCCGCCGCCGCCGCCGCCGCCGCCGCGTTCGAGCCGGAACGCGGAGACAAGGGCCGGCGCCGATTGGCGACGCTCCGTCACGTGACCGCAACGCTCCGCCGGCGCCAATTTTAAACAGCGGAACAAACTGAAAGCTCCGGTGCCCGACCCCACCCCCGGCCCCCGGCCCGGGACCCCCTCCCCTCCCGGGATCCCCCGGGATTCCCCACCCCTCCCGCACCGCCGGGGATCCGGCGGGCCCGGCGCGAGTGCCTGCCCGGCGCCCTGGCCCGGCCCCGGGGTGGAGGAGCCCGGAGCCCGCCCGAGGAGCCACGGCCCAGCGGCGACCGCGACTGCAGCTGGGAGGTGAGCGGGAGCCGAGGAATGGAGGCTGAAACCGGGTTTGGGCGCCCGCAGGGAACTAGGTCGGGGAGCCGCGGTCAGGGGGTCTAGCAGCGGGGCGTGGGGCCAGAGTGGAGGTTTGGGGCCACTCAGGAAGGAGGTCTGAGCGAGAGTGCACATTTTTCTGCATCTAATCCCGTGTCCTGACCTCATTTTTTTTCTCAAAGCACCCCTCGGCCTTCCCTGGAAGTTTGACTTCTGCACCCCTGCCCGCAGCCTTGGAAGGGCTCGGGTGGCCTACTTCCCTAGGCAGACTGTGGTTGGGATGAAGATTCAGCCGACTTTGCATTAAGTCAAAAAACAAACCTGCTTCCAGGTGCTCTCCCCATTATACCACACTGCTTCCACCCTCGCCTCTTAAAGGATCCTTCTCTTAATTCTTGAGAACCCTGCAAGGTTTCCCTGGTCAATATGGAGGTGGAGTCAGGAGTCACTCTGGAAAGCACCTGGACTAAAGTGTTGACAATGATAGGAAGAGACTGGTCAGAAAGTAGAAGGGAAAATTAAGCTTTAGGAGATATCTTTGGGGGAGGGGAGAGTTGAATAGCATCTACTGATTGATGAGGGAGGGAGAGAGGATTGATGAGATAGTAGGTGGAAGTAAAACTGAGATTTGAAGGTAGAGGTAACCTAGATATAAAGGAAAGGAAGGAGGCAAAGCGGAAAGGGCAGATGACAAATGTCATGAATGTGATGATCATTTTTAGGGCTATATCAGAGACATATAAAAGAGACAGCCCATTCCTTTGTCAAAGTACCCCTAAATAAGATTGCACAATTTTACATAATGGTATCTATTAAAATCAACAAAACACAATTTTTTAACAGATAAAACTGTTTTTTAAAATTACCTTATATTGATGGCAGCACATTTTAGTAGGAGATGTGGACTATAGTCTTGGTTCTGGAAAAGAAATTAACACAGTAACATGCTTAGAAAATTAAAATGTGAATAAGCACCCTGCAAGTACTAGAATGTCACTATATAAATATTTTGCAAATTGTGAAAGAAAAATGTACTTAAAAATATCTATATATATATATATATATATATTTTTTTTTTTTTCAGAGAAGAAAGGAGAGGGAAAGAGAAATAGAAACATGAATGATGAGAGAGAACCATTGATCGGCTGCCTCCTGCACACCCATCACTGGGAATCAAACCCACAAACGGGGCATGTGACCTGACCAGGAATCAAATTGTGAACTGCTATCATAGGTCAACACTCAACCACTGAGCCACGCCAGTTGGGCAGGTTGTTTTTTTAAATCCTCACCGGATGATATGTTTTTATTGATTTTTAGAGAGGGAGAGAAAAAGAGAAGAATTGATATGAGAAACATAGATAGGCTGCCTTTTCTGTATATACCCCAACTAAGGATGGAACCTACAACATAGATATATACCCTGACCAGGAATTGAACCCAAGATCCTGCTGGTGCACACGCTGACACTCCAACCACACTGGCCAGAGCAAAATGTTCCTTTTGAAAATCAATGCAAGTATACTAGCCTATGAAATGAATGGTACCCCTTCTTCCTATGCAATGCACAGTCTGCTCAATGTTACCATGAGCCTCGAAGTGTGCAGCTTTCCTTTTATCTAAGTTCTTTTATTTTTATTTTTTTAGATGCATAAATCATTTTAGCTTGCTGAATGTATGTTATGTGCTGTGGAGTTGGCTCCTACTCCTGATGACCCTATGAATGAGTGGCGTCCACAATGTCCTCAACAGACCTACTCAGTTCCTTTTGACTCATGCCTGTGACTTTCCTCTTTTTTTAGAGGACGATTATTAAAGCTGGGGACAGTGAAACAAGGAAGGGCCTAGTATAGAAGAACCAATAGGAGAGAGACTAGGTGGGGAAATGAGCCTAGGCTGGGGTGCTTTGACTCATTAATAAGTCAAAGAAAAGGGGGTCTTGGGGACACATTTGGGGGTTTGCCTAGGACCAGCTGCTAGGGCTCATTGCTCCCTGGTTGCAAGTCTAGTGTGGTCTCAAAAAATTTAGGGGATGCATACCTGTGAGGGAAAGGAGACGCCAGCCTGCTCCTGGGAGGGAGAGCGCTCCCCTTTTATGGGTGGCCTGGGGATGTTTCTTCAGTGATGTGGAAATAGTGCAATGGTACAATCTGCCTTTCTCTCTTGAATGTATTGGCACTAATCCTTTTATTTATAAACTAAGATGCTATAAAGATATAAAGGTTCTATCCTAGAATGGATTATGGGATCAGAGTTTTCGACTCCTCCTTCCCAGTATTCCTGTCCCTGCAGTCACTGCAAGCTATCTGAATTCTAGTAGGCAATACTAGTCATTTCTAAAATTTTTAAGTGCCCCACTTGTTTCTGCAGCCAAATATTTTCAAGCTTCCAGAAGACCTTTGGCTGTGCTGACTTAAGTTCAACTCAATCCCACTTTTCCCATTTAAATTGCTTCTGTTTGCTTCAGTTTTAGCTTTCTTTTTTCAGTGGGATTCATCTCCTTATAGTTTGAGGTCTTTATAAAGGCCCAGGGAATGTTCACTTGGGCCCTTGGGCTCACGCTCCTGGTCATAGGAAGAGGAACACCTCTCTCTAACAAAACCTCCTTCTCGTCCTCACAGATCTCTGACATCCTGCTGCTCCTTGCACTTCCCAGGGTCCATTCTTGTGATTCTCAATGGAGAGTGAAAACATAGATTCATAATGAAAACCAGCCCCCATCGGCCACTGATTCTCAAAAGACGGAGGCCACCCTTACCTGTTCAAAATGCCCCAGGTGAAACATCAGAGGACGAGCCTAAAAGGCCCTCTGTCCAACAAGAGCCTGGTGATGCACAGGCCTCCAATGAGGTGGCAGAGTCCACATCTTGCAAGTTTCCAGTTGGGATCAAGATTATAAACCACCCCACTATGCCCAACACCCAAGTGGTGGCCATCCCCAACAATGCCAATATCCAGAGCATCATCACAGCATTGACAGCCAAAGGCAAGGAGAGTGGCAGCAATGGGCCCAACAAATTCATCCTCATTAGCTGTGGGGGAGCCCCCACTCACCCTCCAGAACCCCAACCTGAAGCCCAAACCAGCAATGATTCCAAGAGGACAGAAGGGATCACCAAGACCCTGGGACCAAAACCTGCAACTACGGATGTGAATCTTCCTAAACCACCTGGAGCTCTTCTCGGGCAGAGATGGGAGAACTGTGGTATGTGGTCTGCAAGGCAAAGGGGTGAGGAGCTCAGCCTTTCCCCTTTGGTGTAAAGGACTGCAGTCAGTCATGTTGATGCCTACAATAGATAACATCTAGCCTGAACCAGGGGAAAGTCATTCTGAAACCTTGACCCAGATCCTTTGGGCACTGTCCAAAGGGTTATAATGATCATTTATCACTTCTAATTGCCTTCTTTATATTGGAAAAGGATTTCTTTATTGTTTCTGTTAATCCTTTCCATCAACTGTATAAAGAAGTAGGGATCTTTCCCTCTCTTAATAAAAGAGAAAACTGAAGCATGAGGAGGAAATGTGGTTTTCTCTGAGCAGATACTTACAAACTATTTCATAAGGTTGCCTTGACTGAGCTCTAAGGCTCAGGTTGGCCCAGATTGAAATGCAATTTGAAACTATGCTCCTGAATTTCTCCTGAGACCCACAATGGGGTGGAGTTCCTGAGTGCCACAGTAGATTCAGCATGTATCCCCTTGTCCCTAAGGATAGAGCTCTTGGAAAGGTGATCCCTATCTATCAATTTTGATGGGTCTGCTGGGCATCAGATCAGGCAGCTAAGTGACATTTTGGATTATTTCCCCTCTAGCTGGCGGTGAGGCAGCAGGCTGCACTCTTAACACCAGCCTGACCAACATCCAGTGGCTTGGGAAGATGAGTTCTGATGGCCTGGGCTCCTGCAGCATCAAGCAAGAGATGGAAGGAAAGGAAAATCAGCACTTGGAGCCGAGTCGGGTTAAGGTGAACTGTCACTCACTAGGGACATGAGAGCCCATGCAGGGAACTTCTAAGAAGGGAAATGGACCAAGTGGCCTATGCACAGAATTTCCAAGTTCTTGTATTAGCGTTCGCCTAGGCCCGTGATTGGCAAACTGCGGCTCGCGAGCCACATGCGGCTCTTTGGCCTCTTGAGTGTGGCTCTTCCACAAAATACCACGGCCTGGGTGAGTCTATGTTGAAGAAGAGGCGTTAGAAGAAGTTTAAGTTAAAAAAATTTGGCTCTCAAAAAAAATTTCAATCATTATACTGTTGATATTAGTCAATGAGTTTGCCGACCACTGACTTAGTGCGATTCTGTTTAACTTTTGAGCTGCCTTTCTGCTTTGGATCTTTCTCCCCCATCTGCAAAATATTCTTAGGGCAGATTCCTCTGGCTCTCTGTATTCTATTATCACTGAGTTTAGTACTCCGCCCTTAGGTATTTAGGAAATGATAAAAAGGTCTTAGTTTGGAAAGCCAAACTTTAAAGGAGCAACCCAACCGTAAGAAAGAAATATAGCATTTTTAACCGGATAGTTTTGTTATATGTTACTAGAAAATAAAGTGAGTTAGATGTTAATTTTAAATATTTCCCCAGCAGTCAAAATTGATTTGACCTAATTGTGTGGTCTGGGGTTGTTTTTCACAGTTGCCACATACCTGGATTCTGTTGTATATGCGGTTTAATCGTTCAACAACCTTTAAAAGTGAAAATTTGCATAGATGTGTACATAAGTAAAAATTGAGCTATTCAATTATAACTTCTATACTTTATAAAGTTATTTATATAAATGTATCAAATACATATAAACTTACAAATATTATAAAACTCAATATGTTTTTAAAGCTTAATATTTTGAAATGTGAATAATCAGATCCTTGCCTAAGACTTTGTCAAATTCACACTTTGTAGACATTTTTCTGTCCTGTACTCAGAAATATTTCACTTCTTGTATGTGCCCTGACCAGAGATTGGACCTGCAACTTGGCATATTGGAACAATGCTCTAACCAACTGAACTATCCAGTCAAGGCTCCATATGGGTGTGATTTTGTATAAAATTAGTTTTATGAATCATAACATATACCCAAACTTTCCCAAGAGATTTCAACTACCAAAAACTGAACACATTATTGGGAAATATCTTCAACAAAATTAGCAAAGACAGAGAAGTAGTTCTACATTGTCATACTGTTTTGGATCATCTCTAAGATCCTTTCTAATTCCAAACTTTTATTCTATGGAATAGTGGTCTGGGATAAGTTTGTTCCTAGTGTGATTTTTGTGGGATAAACGGTTTCTCCAGGGAATATTATTCAAGTGGGGCTGGAGAAGGTCTTGTGAATTCTTCTATGTCATTCGCTTCTCTCTCTCCCTCCGGTTTCTCATAACCCTCAGGTTGAGGAGCCCCCAAGAGGATCAACATCCTGGCAGGACTCCGTGTCTGAGCGGCCGCCGTACTCTTACATGGCCATGATACAATTCGCCATCAACAGTACCGAGAGGAAGCGCATGACCTTGAAAGACATCTACACGTGGATCGAGGACCACTTCCCCTATTTTAAGCATATGGCAAAGCCAGGCTGGAAGGTACTGCATTCCATAACAACCCACGTGGAGGTCACCCTGGTCCCACAGTTTGTCTACACAGGTGTCCAACACTTGATGTCTGGCGCTCTGAGAGAATATAAAACGTAAAGGATGCTAGAACTCTAAACAGTTGTAACTTTTGGATTGTGACTTGATCCTGCTGAGTCCAGAATCATCAGTAAGAACTCTGCAGCCACTTTACCTGTCACTACCTAAGGTTTACCAGGACTCTTCTATGTAGCACGAAACCTGAACAGCAGCTGGAGTGACTAAGTACCTTTCTAAAAAGATCTTTTAAAAACAATGCTGTCTGTGAGGCTTATGATTCACCTCCTCTAATGTCACATAATATTTCTGGAAGGCAGGGATTTTCTTTCATTTTATTCATGGGAAAACAGATGCCTGGGAGTCACTAGGTCACACTACAATGTCAGAGTCACAGCTCAGGTCCTTTGACATACTCAGCTCCAAGCCAAAGGTTTTTTGTTTTGCTCTCCCCACAGTAGAACTTTTAACTTCACATTCTTACCTCAAATAAATTTCCCAATTCCTTATTTCCTTTTTTAAAAAAATATATTGACAAATACCAATATATTTTTATTGATTCCAGAGAGAAAGGGAGAGGGAGTAGAAACATCAATGATGAGAGAATCATTGATTGAATGCCTCCTGCATGTCCCCTACTGAGGATTGAGCCTGCAACCCGGGCATGTGCCCTTGACAGGAATCGAATCTGGTACCCTTTAGTCCTCAGGCCAATACTCTATCCAATGAGCCAAACCAACTGGGGCCCAAGTTTCTTATTTCTCCAATTTCCTAAATTGCTATTGATTATTGCTTCAAAGTCTCACTCATCTTTTCTAGCGTTTGACAGCTATCCAGGTCTTTTCTTTAACACAAACCTAGGAATGGTACCGCCTTTATCCCTATAGGATAGATGGGTTTATAGCTGAGGTGGACAGCTCTGCAGTGTGGAGATAGGGAAAGAATTGGACATTCGACAAAGTCTGTGCTAGGCACAGTGTGAGGCCTGAGGCTGATATCTCCTTAGGAAACATCAAGAGTGTTGTTTTTGCCGAAACCGGTTTGGCTCAGTGGATAGAGCGTCAGCCTGGGGAACTGAAAGGTCCCAGGTTCGATTCCGGTCAAGGGCATGTACCTTGGTTGCGGGCACATCCCCAGTAGGGGGTGTGCAAGAGTCAGCTGATCGATGTTTCTCTCTCATGGATGTTTCTAACTCTCTATCCCTCTCTCTTCCTCTCTGTAAAAAATCAATCAAATATATTTTTTAAAAAAAGAGTGATGTTTTTGAATCTAAAATAGCTGATAACCGGTTGTTTCTTCTTCCAGAATTCCATCCGCCATAACCTTTCTCTTCATGACATGTTTGTTCGAGAGACATCTGCCAATGGCAAGGTCTCCTTCTGGACCATTCACCCCAGTGCCAATCGTTACTTGACCTTGGACCAGGTGTTTAAGGTGAGTGTCCTGGTTTCTTCTAAATGGGGCAGAGTTGGAGGTTGTAATATCCATCTCAAAAGGAAACCAGTGATCCTTGTGATGATGTTATCTGATCTGGGGAGAGTTAGAAGCCAGCCAGCCCATAGGTGATTTGCATAAAATTCAATGAATTAAGTACAGTTGACAAATACCAAATGACACACTTTAGTACTAGACCATGCCATAGAGAGGACTACTTGGATCCAAATAAGAGGACTTCCCTAACTGCCCTATGGATAAGAACTGCTTGGGATGCTTATTAAAAAACAACTTCCCATCCTAGCCTGTTTGGCTCAGAGTATAGAGCATTAAGGGTCCCAGGTTCGATTCCTGTTAAGGGCTCATGGCCCTGGTTTTTTGCTTGATCCCCAGTAGGGGGTGTACAGGATACAAGCAATCAATGATTCCCTCTCATCATTGTTTCTATCTCTTTCCCTCTCCCTTCCTCTCTGAAATCAATAAAAATTTATTTTTAAAAAACCCACACAACTTCCCAAGCCCCTCTCTTGGGGCTTCTGATTCAATTGGTCTAGAATGGGCCCAGAAATACGTATTTTTAACAAGCATCTCAGGTGATTCTTACAGAGAAAGTCTAAGAAACCTTGTTTTTTAAAAGCCCTTCTTTAGGCTGGAGACCAGAAACCGAGCCAGCAGAACAACTCTTTAGAAGTGATTGTTTTGGGATTTCAGAATGCCATTCTGTTGGGAGGGACAGTTGACCTGGGTGGCCCTCAGCATCAGTCAGGAATAGGTGTTTTTCCCAATGTGGTCAGATTGATTGACCATACCGGTGGTAACTTCATCTCATTTCTCTTCCACATTGCCTGCCCACCACAGCCACTGGACCCAGGGTCTCCACAATCACCCGAGCACTTGGAATCAGTAAGATTCTTTCCCTCTGGCTCGGGGTTTGTCCTTGTTTTCCTTTCACTGCTTAGCATGGCTTTAGCGGACAGGGACAAGACTGCCAGCCCTAAATACAGAGCACCGAGCTTCTGGAGTGAGGAAATTTGACTGTCACCTCATCTCTCCAGAAGAGGGCTCGTCCCCACACATGGGCAATCATGAAGGTGCAGTAAACAGAGTGGGCGTGACAGGAGGACCTGCCATGAGCTTAGTGCAAGGTAGCAACCCCAGTGCATGGCATAGGTTGGGCAGGCAGCAGTGTTTTCTCTCACTTTCAACCCGGCTTTTTTTTTGCCACTCTTAGAACTACATGCCTTAGCATCCCCTGGGGGTGGTAAGGACACATGGATGAGGTGCTAGGACCTGTCACCATAAACCTGTATGCTGTCCACCTTTCCCACTAACCAGGCTTGGTGGCATTGCTCACCTGCATCCTCCCAGAGCAGCTTTGGTTTCTGGGCTGTTGGTTAGCTCAGTGCACGGTGCCAGAGAAGCCAGTGGGTTCTCCCACCTCCTCTCCTGCCTTGTTAACCCAGATCTCTCTCTCTTCCTATCTGCCACACACAGCAGCAGAAACGACCCAATCCTGAGCTCCGCCGGAATGTGACCATCAAAACTGCACTCCCACTGGGCGCACGTTAGTATGGGAGAGTGGGCTTCAGACCTAGTCCTTGTTCTGGGGGCATATTTTTAGGGGATCAGACTCTGGGATTCTGTGCCTAGCTCAAAGGGATCTGAGCCCAGAGGAAAGCACAGCTCCTGGGATTGAGAAGGGTGTGTCTCTGGACCCATACCCCTCATCTCTCCTATTTCCTCCTAGGGCGGAAGATGAAGCCATTGCTGCCCCGGGTCAGCTCATACCTGGTACCCATTCGGTTCCCAGTAAACCAGCCACTGGTGTTACAGCCCTCAGTAAAGGTGCCATTGCCCCTGGCAGCTTCACTCATGAGCTCAGAGCTTGCCCGCCACAGCAAGCGGGTCCGTATTGCCCCCAAGGTGAGTGGCTTCTGTTTTCCTCTGAGGATTATGTGCATTGGACCTATATTTGCAACTGCACTCTACTGAATGTTCCTTGAATAGCTTATAAATCAATTGGGTAGGTAAGACAGCGCTCCCCTAGCCATTTTATTTACTTACTTATTTTATTATTTTTTTAAATATATTTTTATTGATTTCAAAGAAGAAGGAAAAGAAATAGAAACATCAGTGATGAGGGAGAATCATTGATTGGCTGTCTCCTGCACGCCCCCTACTGGGGATCAAGCCCACTACTTATGACTCCTGGTTCATAGCTTGAACCACTGAGCCACGCCAGCCAGGGCCTCCCCTAGCCATTTTACAGATACATACATAACACATGGAACATTGAAAATGGGATTATATTACAAGTCACCTGGCATAGCTCTAATTCATTGTCTTTTGTTGTTGTTGCTGTTAATCCTTACCTCAGGATTTTTCCATTGATTTTTAGAGAGAGTGGAAGGGAGAGGGAGAAACAGAAATAATATCAATGTGATAAAGACACATCGATTGGTTGCCTCCTGCACTCACCTTAATCAGGGCCGGGAAACCTGCAATCAAGGTATATGCCCTTGACTAGAATCATAATTCATTGTCTTTTAGTGGTCACATAGTATTCCATAGTATGCTATGTCAAAATTTTTCTTTCTTTTTTTAAAATATATTTTATTGATTTTTTACAGAGAGGAAGAGAGAGCGATAGAGAATCAGAAACATCGATGAGAAAGAAACATCGATCAGCTGCCTCCTGCACACCTCTTACAACCAAGGTACATGCCCTTGATCGAAATCAAACCTGGGACCTTTCAGTCCGCAGGCCAACGCTTTATTCACTGAGCCAAACCAGTTTCGGCTATGTCATAATTTTTCAAATCATTTTACTTTTATGGACTGTAACATTTTGTTTCTAATATTTTTCTCGTATGAGCAACACTGCAATAATATCTTTGCAAGTATTTTCTTACTAGTGCTTTTATTTTTATGAAATAGAGTCCCCAGACATGAGATTGCTCAGTAAAGAGGTATTTTAAATTTTATTAAATATTGCTAGATTGCTGTTTAAAAAATATGTGATAATTCACATTTCTACTAGCAACATATGACAAGACCTATGTCTCTGCTAGTAATTGGCATTGTTCATCTTTCTTTTTTTTTTTTTTCTTTCTTTTTTTTTTTTTTAATATATTTTATTGATTTTTGTACAGAGAGGAAGGGAGAGAGATAGAGAGTTAGAAACATCGATGAGAGAGTCATCGATCAGCTGCCTCTTGCACACCCCCTACTGGGGATGTGCCCGCAACCAAGGTACATGCCCTTGACCGGAATCGAACCCGGGACCTTTCAGTCCCCAAGCCGACGCTCTATCCATTGAGCCAAACCGGCCTCAGCATCTTTCTTTTTTTTTTTTTTTTTAATATCTTTTATTGATTTTTTACAGAGAGGAAGGGAGAGGGAAAGAGAGCTAGAAATGTTGATGAGAGAGAAACATCAACCAGCTACCTCCTGCACACCCCCTACTGAGGATGTGCCCGCAGCTAATGTACATGCCCTTGACCGGAATCGAACCTGGGACCTTTCAGTCCGCAGACGGACGCTCTATCCACTGAGCCAAACCGGTTTCAGGTGTTCATCTTTTTAATATTTGCCCATCTAATGTACATAAATTATTTCATCTTTGTTTATTAGTAAGTGTGAGCACCTTGTTATGTTTATTCACGTGGGATTATTCGCTGTGAGATGCGTTTTTATGGACATTGCCTATTTTTTATAGGGTTTTGTTAATTTGTGCTTATTCATTTTATTAAAATATTAACCTTCTCTCTTTTAGGTTAAAGATTTTTTTTTTAACTTCCATTGTTTGTTTCTTAACTGGATTTATGGTTTCTCTTGCCATAGTAAGATTTTACATTTTTATGTAGTCAAATTTATCTCTTTTCTCTCTTACAGCTTTTGGGTTTCCAGTCTTGGTTAAGAAGGTCACCCTCAGATTGTACATGTAGTCTTCTAGATTCTCTTTCAGGATTTGTATGGTTTTATTTTATTTTTATTTTTATTAGGATTTGTATGGTTTTAATTATTCTTTTTATCTTTGTATATAGTATAAAATAGGCATCCATTTTTAGTGATCTACCTTTTCCCCCTGGAATTGAGCTACCACCTTCATCATATATTCTCATATTTAATTGTTTTTAATAATTTAAAAAGACAAAAAGAGGATTGGTAGCAGCGTGTCACTTATTTTAGTCAGCATCTTCTGTCCTTCCTCATGACTGGGTTGAATCTCAAGGCTTCAAGAGCTCCCTCTCATCTTTTCCCTGCTTCCTTTTCAGGTGCCACTAGCTGATGAGGGGGTCGCCCCTCTGCCCACTGCAGGGCCAGTGAAAGAGGAGAAACTCCTGCTTGGAGAAGGGCTGTCTCCTCTGCTTCCAGTTCAGTCCATCAAGAAAGAAACACAGCCGGGGGAGGAAATGCCGCACTTAGGGAGGCCCATCAAGGTGGAGAGCCCGCCCCTGATAGAGTGGCCCTCGCCGTGCCCATCGGTCAAAGAGGAGCTGTCTCAGTCCTGGGAGGAGGACTCCCCTCACTCTCCCACTCCGAGGTCCAAGAAGTCCTACAGTGGACTCAGGTCCCCAACCCGGTGTGTGTCTGAAATGCTCGTGATTAAACGAAGGGAGGGGAGGGAGATGAGCCGCTCTCGAAGGAAACAGCACCTGCTGCCTCCCTGTGTGGATGAGCCCGAGCTGCTCTTCTCGGAGGCCCCTGGGACTTCAAGACCAGCCACGGAGCTCCCTCTCCCCTCAGAGCCCTCTGTGCCTGCCCCCCAGCTTGGCTACTCCCAGGAGGAGGGAGGACCTTTTAAGACACCCGTTAAGGAGACGCTGCCCATCTCCTCTACCCCGAGCAAATCTGTCCTCCCCTTGAGCCCCGAATCCTGGAGGCTTACACCCCCAGCCAAAGTTGGGGGGTTAGAGTTCAGCCCAGTACGAACCCCTGAGGGTGCCTTTGGCCCCCTACCTGACTCCCTGGGCCTGCCAGATTTCAGTACCACCCCACTGAAAAGTATCCCCCTCTTTGATTCACCCCAAGAACTCCTCAATCCTGAGCCCTTTGACCTCAACTCTGACCCCTTTAGTAGCTGTTCCCTCTCAGAAATGGAAGTCCCCAAGCCAGGCTACCCCATGGTCGGGGAGCAACAAGTCGCCAGCCTTCCAGCCAACCGTTCCCTGACAGAAGGCCTGGTTCTGGACACAATGAATGACAGCCTGAGCAAGATTCTGCTGGACATTAGCTTCCCTGGCCTGGAGGAGGACCTGCTGGGCCCTGACAACATCAACTGGGCTCAGCTCATGCCTGAGCTGCGGTAGAGACCTGACCTTACCCTTGCTGCTCAAGCTGTCCATTCTGCAGTTGTGTGGCTGGGCCATCCAAGGCCTGAGTAAGGACAGCAAGCAGGGACTGTCCGCCCCTCCAACCCCACTTTGTTTTGCCAAGGCAGACATCACGCCATAGTGACCACCGGGCCCTCTACAAGCCTCCAGGCCCTGGTACCTGAACTCTGTGCCATCCTGTGCTCATTCCCCCTGATTCCTCATTCCCCCTGTGAGGACTGAAGGGTGGGCATAGCAGAAACAAGAATGAAAAGAGATTAGGAACTCCCAAAACTGTTTGTATTCTGTGCCCAGCAGTTTCACCTTCCCTGTTCCTTGCAGGGTGTCCTGTAAATAGTGTATATGCTCCAAATTATCCTCTAATTTTTAAATGTAAGCTTATTTCCTTAGATCATTATCTACAGACTATCAGAAGATGGGTAGGATGACAGGGGTTTCAGTTTGCTTCCCGTTCCTGGCTTTTAGTCCCTAGAGAAGGGAGACCTGCAGTGCACGCTTTCCTCCAGGCCCAAGTCACCTGCCTCAAGGGTTCTTTACTGTACGCACCCAGACAAGCAGATCTTCTTGCCGGAGCCCCTCTTACTGTTCTTCCCTCCCACCTCCCCATGTTTCCAAGAAGAAATCCTGGTAAAAATGTCTCTTATAATGTGTCGAAGTTGAATTGGGAGTGGAGGGTGGATGCATCTGAAGCAGAGTGGGTGCCCAGCCGTGTGCCCATGTGATGTTTCTCTGATAGTGCCCCTAATCATGCCAGAGAGACTAGCACTGATGAGAACTTGGCCTGAGGCTTGAGAAGACTAAAAGGGTCCTGACCTGCCTGGCTTCCTTAGCTTGCACTGCAGCTTTGCAAAGAGCCACCTAGGCCCCGGCTGGCCATATGCATGTGAGCCAGCACAAGAACACTACTGTAACTACTCAATAAAATCCAGGGTGTAAGAGTTGCTCTCTGTGGTGTGTTGGCGTCTGGTTCCTAAGCATAAGAAGGGATTGGGAAAGAAAGTGGGTGATGATGAAGACAAGCAAGGTCTGAAGATATGAGGCACTAAAGAGTGCAAAGGGCTTTGGCATGGACTACCTCCCATATGGTGCCTGCACAGGCACACAGCCTCTCTAGCACAGAGATGACTGCTTACCAATAATGGTCCTGCACAGCCAAGGATGAGCCCAGTTAAGGTGCCTCATGACCACCTTTACCTCCAATCTAAGGCCTGAAAGCCGGCCTGCCCTGCTTTTCTCCGCAGGCCTTCCTAGGCCCGTCCCTTCCCGGAAGTGCTCCC